CCGAGGACGTGAGGATACTGTGAGAGTTTATGACTGGTGGGAATTGGCTGGTCTGGAGAATGGTAAGACAGATCTCTGGAGGAAGGTAAATGACCTGATGGAAATAATCTTGAGAGATCAGAAGCATGAACACAAATTAATTAGGAGTTGTTAGCGGGTAGAGGGTAAATGACACGTGGAAACAACAATTCTCAGATTTCAGTGACTTAACAAAAGAAAGGTTTATTATTCATTGAGGTGTCAAAGGGCATTGGTACAAGGAGCCTGTTCCATACAGTCTTTCGAGAACTCAGGATCTTCCTATCCAGTGGCTCTTCCTTTTTTTGTGTGTGCGTGGCATTGGGGATCTCTGTTAGATCCTCTACATGCAGCCAGTAAGCCAGTTTCAATATGCCTATAGATCACCTGGAGACCGTGTTAAAAATACAGGTTCTGATTCAATTGGTGTGGGGTGGGACATGAGATACTGCATTTGCATCAAGCTCTCTGGTGACTTTGGTAACTGTTGCTCCCTGCCCCTATTCTGATTAGCAAGAGCAAAGAGAATCTTTGAGCCTGATGAACCAGGCCTGGAAGGGCATATGTCATTTCTGCTCACCTCTCACCTCCGTCATATTACCCTGATACAGAGTAGAAAACCTTTTCTGGTCCTCTTAATTTGATCCCACCCATTTTACAGAGTAGAACTAGGCCATAGGGTTTTCTTGGCTACAATATCTGTAGAAACAGACCTCTAGGCCTTTGTTCCATGGTAATGAAGGCAAAACATTTGCAGTGCCCAGGGCCCTAAGGATAAAGGACTGCTGATCTAGTTAATGAAAAGCTTATGGATCACATCAGAACATTGTCCGACTTGCTTGCTTTGGGTATGTCACTAGGAGGGACCAACTGCTGGTGTAGTGCATTGTGCTTGTTAAAACAGGCCAGCAAGGGTGAGGGGAGACTCTTGGTGAGATCATTAGCACAAGAGCCACAATGATGGGTTCGGAGCTGCTGGCGATTGTGAGGATGATGTGCGTGTGATCAGATAACATTTTCTTTTCCAGTGGTGCATAGGATAGCTATGAGTCAACATTGACTCAAGGGCTGCTAACTGCAACATTTTGGGAAATTGCTATGAGTCTACTTCTGTAAACAGTTACAGTCTCAGAAACCCATAGGGGAGTCTATGAGTTAGTATTCACTTGATGGTAATGAGGTTTGAGTTTGGACCTAAGTCATGGTATTTTTAATCACTTCATAGGCATGAGAAAGCTGGTTAATGAATAACAAAATCTGTAAGGCAGTATGAAAAGTTTGTAATTTTAGGTGGGATGAGAAGTCTTTTAAGGGGTTTAGGCAGAGAAATGACATGAGCTGATGTTCTCTACATCATTCTAGTCATTGTGCTAACAGGGGAGCAAGAGTGGGGGCTCAGATATTGCTTAGGAAGAATTTGATGTGTTTGAACCAGGGTGAAGAATATCAAATATACCATGGACTGTCAGAAGAATGAATCCGTCTGTCTAGGAAGATCAGAAGCCTCCTTAGAAGTGAGGATGAGTTTGCTTTATGTAATTTGGACGTTATCAGATAAAATCAGCTCCTGAAGGACTTGGTAGAGGGTTAGTGAGAAAGAGGAAGACCCTGTGATAGCTACATAATTCCATGTCAATTTGAAGATATATAAACTTGTAGGGATGGGGTTAGGCCTGCCAATCGATGGTGACTCATTGTTGATGTGGTCTCATAAAAACGGCCCTGGGGAACTCCCTCCCCTCTCTCTGCCTTCACCTTCTTGCTGGTGGGTCACTTTGAGACCTGCCAGGGCTCTGTGATGCTTCCATGACTATTGGATCCACAAGACTTTGTAACTACCAACCTGTGATATTGCTGCCTTCTACATTATTGTTTGTGACTATGAGAGTCTAAAGAGAGACTTACGGACTATATTGGACTTACAGACATAAGTTGGAATGGCTGGGACGTTTTTTTGTATACAATTACTTCTTGATATGAAGTTATTTCTTACACATACATGAGTGTCACTGGATTAGTTACTGTAGTCAACCTGGCCTAACACAACCCTCAGTGAGCTGGATTGACATAATGGTTACAATGATGGGCTCCAATATAGCAATGGTGAGGATAGCACAGCACTAGTTAGTAGTTTGCTGTACATAGGGTTGCTGTGATTTGAAACTGACTTGATGACATCTAACAACACTAACATTTATTGAACATTTATAGTGGTCGAGGCTGAAAATAAAATGAACTGATTCTAATAAATGAGATAAATGAAACTAAGTAATGTAGAAAACTCCCTGCCATCCAGTCATTGCTGACTGATAGTGACCACCTGTGGATTTCCAAGACTGTAACTGTTTACAGGAGTAGAAAGCCCAGGCTTTCTCCTACGGAGTTGCTACTGGTTTCACACTACTGACCCTGTGGATCACAGTCCAATGCAGAACCACTACACTCCATGGCAAATGTCCTAGGGCAGAATGAGATGAGGTCAGAAAGGGATAGTGCTAGGTCCTGTTGCTTTGTAAGGCAGAATTTAGTCTGCAGTTTTAGGTGGGATGAAGTCATCGAGGGGGTTTAGGCAGGGGAATGACATGAGCTGTTGTCATCGTGTGAACATGACCAGGGTAACAATGGTGAGCTGGGAAACTGTTAAGATGTCAATTATGAAAAAAAAAAAAAAAAGTCAATTCTGGCAGATAGGTTAAAATGTAATACTTAATTTTTTATCTCTTCTGATCCATGTTAAACCTGTTTCCATTTTTAATATGCTTTCATCTTGAATGAGTTTTTCTGTTTTGTCTAGTCAGTGTTGTTTCTTGTTTATTTGCTCCCTGTTTGCATTTCCTGTGATTTTCTATATATGAAGCCCAGGGTAGGTGGATCTATAAAGACAACACTGGATTGAGAATCTCTAGGGGCAGGCCAGGGAAGGATGTGGGGGCAATGGGGAGCTAACAAAAGGAAAATGTTCTAAAATGTATTGTGGGGATGGTTGCACAAATCTTAATTGAGCAATTAAACTGTATGATGTTAAGTATATCCCAATAAAAATATTTTAAATAACTAATAAAAATAAAGGACAGCTATTTAGGCAATTGAGATGGTGAAAAGCAACTTGGCTTTGAGTAAACAGAATTTGGAGACAGTTGATTGTGAGGAGAACAGTGAATCAAACTTTATTATGTTTGTAAATTAAGCAACAGCTGGACTTTAGTGCCATTTAGTAAGATGAGCAAGATTGTGAGAGGGGGGTTGGAAATCAAGAGTTCCTTTGATTATGCTAAACTTGAGACATTTGCTAGAATATACATTTTCAAGAATAGTCAGATGGGTTTCTGAACATGCAGCGACATGAATCCAAGGTGTTCCTGGCAGCGCTTGACCTTGTCACGTCACGGGACTTAATTGCAGCCTTGGGTCTGAACACACAACATGCACTCTCAGCCAAACACATATCACTAGTCTTTGACGGTGTGCTTCATAATGTAAAAATCATTTAACTTCATTAAAAGCAGTGCTTATTTTATATACTGGGATCATGTAAAAATGTCTCAGGTGAATAGGGGTCATTAAGCCCTGTTATGTCAGGTTTGATTTGACAGCAGCGGGTGATGGGAAATGCAGGTGGAAATGACAAAGTAAGTTAAATACACAGCTTAGTGTTTGGGGCAGAGATTCTGACTAGAGTGTTGGAGTGACTACGAGCACATGCTGTGTATTCAGAGCCAAGGCTGCAGTGAAGCCTCGCGGTGCATCATGGGCACGTGCTGCAGGAAACACCTCGGATTCATTAGGCATTTGATGTCTCAATTACTTTGTGGTCTTTGCTCTTCAGAAACCTTCTACTGTTGCCAACTTTCCTGCTACCCTCCACCCTTCAGTTATGTGACCCCATGTGGAGTCTTGAACTACAGCTTAAGCAGCTCTGAGTCTGATCCCAAGTAAAAGCCCTGAGCTGGGCCGGAAGCAAATGGATCTCCCGGTAAGGTGCAGATGGCAGGCTTCCAGCTTTTAGGTTGCCCAGGAGTTTGACTTTTGTTGGCTTCACAAACAAGGAAAGTCTTTACTAAACCATTTGTGCTAAACCTGGAAATTGGGCAGTCAGTATGTAAGCTAAAACACCAGTTATTATTTTTCTGCTTTAATTCTACATTAAACTTAATTTATTCCCGAGCCACAAGGTTTTGCTACTTCAGCTTCTTCCGGGAGATCTTTTTCTTCCATGCAACCTCCTCTTCTGGTCTAGGAACAGTTTGTTCCTTTCAGTAAGGATCACTTCAACGGGGCCAGGGGAACTCTGCAAGTCCGGCTTCGAAGCTGGGGACTTTGTTCACCTGGATGTGCTCAATGACCAGAGAAGCCACATCGCAATCCTGAAGTACAGCATTGCTCCCTGTATCTTTAAGCGTGTACAGTGAAAATGCAGGACTCTTTGGGGCCACTGACCCTGGGTCCAACCCCACTGTTGTATTACCAACCCTGCCACTGTAATGTCGGAAGGACACACACTGCTTCTGCAAAGTGACATCTTTCAAATACTTGGTGACTTTGCGATATGTGTACCCTGGATGGTCTGGGCAGTTTCACGGGTGTTCTGAAAATGGACATGAAGATTCGACCTTCTTGATTTGCATGTTTTTGTGGGTTTTTGGGGTGGGGTGGTTCAAATGAATAGTGGATCATTTTGGCAGTTCACCTCAGGCTGCTGCAGGGAGAGGAAAAAACACCAATTCTTTACCTAACTGGCATAATGTTCTATTTTCAGTCGACTGGTTGGCATGAACTTTGTGAGAGTACAAACCCCCCTGAATCAGGCCCAGAAGCAATGGTGCCCCTGAACAAGGGATGCTTCCCAGGGCATCTGGAAACTGAGGTGGCTACTGGACTTGTCACAGCTGGGATGGTATTCTTCAAGTCAGGCTGCTGAGTCTCTGATCACAACATTAAATTTAAAAAGCATTTTTAAATATGTAAGGAAGGCCAAGCGAGCCTATATTTGTAAACATTTATTCTCTTGAACTGAAAAAGGCTTGCATCAGCACACATTGTACAGTCTTGCAAATTACACAGAAATTGAAAAGAAAGGTTCCTTGTTCGTAAGTGCAATGAATCTTTGATGTCCAGTGATCCGCTGCAAACAATAAAATATATTTTAAACCAATGCAGAAGTTCCCAGCACTCATTAAATGCATTTCCTTCAGTGACTAAATAGGATCCACAAGGAGGAGCAAGCAAGTTAAGTGGCATTTAGTTACTGGAGAGACGCTTAAGTGTCAAAAAAGTTAAGTATTTTCCTGTTTCTACAGTGATTTCTTCCCCCTGGGAAGCTAAGTGGTGTGATCAAGAGGTGTTAAGAAGATCATTTACTTCATCCTAATGCTCACACTACCTAAGTGAAGAAGCAAAGGACCTTATGAGGGAGTTCTGTGTTTTCTGGAAGTTCTTTTGTGTGTGTGGTGATTCTGGGTCAGAGCACTCTTCTCTTTGTGGGCTCTCCCTAGTCTACCCCAATGCCCCAGAAAGATACGAAATGGTCTCCCGTGGTGGTTCCACTCCTGCATCACCCCGCCCCCTCCCCACTCTGTGCTGGGTCGCACTGTGCTGGCTGCAAAGAGGTGGCAACTGGTTACGATCGTTTTGAAGACTCTGCTGTACAACAGAAACAGAGCTTTGGATCTGATACAAGAATTCAGAAATATAAAACAAAATCACTATAAAAGTTAGGAGGCATTTGAACAGCATTTCCTTGGAAAAAGCTGATAATTATGTATCATCCCGATGTGGATTTCTTTAGTCATTTGGGGCAAAATGCAGCTCTCTCTTCCTTCTGTGGATATCACTGGCCTTTCTTCAAAAGCTGTAATGCCATAGGAGTCTCTAGAATGTTAAAAGAAGCTCCAGATACCAAGCCAATCAGAGATGGGAGAGGACCGGGTCATCCCCGAGGTGAAGGGCCCATAGATGGTTCTGTTACTGAGAACTGGCCCTTTCCAAAATGTGAAAGTCGTAGTTCTTCTTGCTTGTTCTCAGCTTAAACTTGTTAACCGAGTTAATCTGCTTCTTCAAGGCATTCTGCGCAGCTGAAATGGAGGGGAATGAGGCTAAGACGGTGTACGTGGAGGCCAAGTCACTGGGTTTAGAGCACTCGGAGTGGACTGTGCTGTCTCCGCCCCCAGAGCAGAGGGGGTGTCGCCGCAAGCGGGGCTGGGACTGTGGGTCCCGGAGCCACCGGATCTTGGCGCCAATTTTAAAGAGTTCTCCAAAGAGGTTCTCGGCTTCCATGCGAGTTATTCCATCTGGGAGTTCAGTAATTTCCAAGACCTTCCCGATAACTAGAATGAGAAAAAGTGCAGAATTAATACATTCCTGTGACCAAAAAAGGTACAGACCCAAATGTGAACTGGAAATGAATGGAATTTTGGAATCCATTCAGATTTACAAAATTGGTCAAAGCCATCTTTCAAATTACACTTAGGGGATGAAGAGCTAACGGGTGAGTTCCAGGGGCCAGTGTTCACTGAGAATTAGTAGTGCACATGAAACCCCACCTCTCAGAGTGAATCCCCGACACGTGGTTTGTGAGCACAGGTAGTTGTCTGAGTACCATGCTCCCATTGTAAAATCAAGACAGTGCACTGGCCACCCACAGCTGTTTTGAATAGAATGCTAAAGGGCATGCTTGCGGGCACTTTACCACGAAAAAGCCTTTCATCTGTTCATTCAGACACACTCTCATGACGATGCAAGGACTAGAGTGTCCTATGGGCCAGAAAGCTCACCCCAAACTCACACCCTGCTTTCCCCTGGGTCCTGCCACCCTTGACACTCTCCTATCTTAAATGAGTCCACGTGAAAGGAATGGATCTGAGAGCCCCCAATTGTAGCTGGCACCATGCACCCCGGCGTTTGAGGAGGACTCAGGATGAGGGAAGACCCTTCCTGGGGGTGGTATGTCTTCAGTGCCCGTGAGCCTGGGCCGCAGGATGGAGCGCCACAGCTGGCCAGCCCCCTGGGACACACCTGCTTCTCCAGCGCCAAGGTCAGTGGATGCAGCCTTTTTAGCTTGTTTCCTTCCTCGGTTTCCATGCCGACTGCCAGGTTGGCCCTGGAAACCCACAAGCAGATGAGAAACAAGGTCACTTGTGCTGGAAAATATATTTGGCACGTTTTAAAAACCGAGCATATTGCAGAGTCCATCTAGGTCTTGCACTGCAGCAGCAGCAGTAGCATGCCCACCCCCTCCACTCTCCCTCCCCCGAGCAAAGCCGTGACAGCAGTTCTGGTGAATTCTACTATGTGGCAGCCCTCACCATGACTCTTTCATAAGCAAGGGCACCCCAACTTTCGGCCACACCACTTGCGGGTCTCAAGTTGTTTCTGACTCACAGTGACCCTATAGGACAGGGTAGAACTGCCCCTGTGGGTTTCTGCGACTACCTTTTAAAAAAAATTTTATGTTTGCATTTAAAGTTTTATTGAAATCCCTCCCCAACCTTCTCTATTCAGCTTCCTAGGTGAGCATACATGTAACGTCCGGGCCTGGTGGTATTCTTTGCAAATTAGTTCCTTACGTTCCTGAAACTGTGACTTGTGAAATGTGGGGAACTGATGAACGGACAAGGGAGTACTGAAGATTGCTTTATGCGGCTGCTTCCTTGTTTGGACGCAAACATAGGCTGAGAAACCGCCAGTGGAACTGCTGAGTGTGTGTACAGCACTAGCACAATGCTCACCCCAGGCGTCTCCCCTCCAGTCCTGTGAGCAGGGAGGGAAAATGACCAGGGCACGGCCCCTTGTGACAGAGAGCAGGTCCCCCAAGGTCTTAGGAAAACTGCACAAGTTATCCCCACCATCTGGGTGTCAGGCTAGTGGGTTGATGTAAACTAGCCTCAGAGTCCACTGAAGGTGCTCTCTATCCTTGTCACTGGTTTCCTCTTGTGACTATTTCTCCTCTACATCCTCTTGGAGAGTTTACAAGAGCAGTTTTGCAATGCGCATAAAGAATTCACAGTAACTAGGGATCTTGTTAAACTCTCTACGGGAGCAGAAAGCCTCCTCTTCCTTCTGAGGAGTGGCTGGAAGTTTTCAATGCTGACTCTGTGGTTAATGGCCCAAGGGTACCCACTACCCCTCCAGGGTGAATGACTGCACAGTCAAGGATGTACCACCTCCACACACCCCAGCCCTCTGTTCTCGGTGGCGGCAGGCATAATGTTTATAAACCAGAGATGGGTGTGTGTGGGGAGATGTTGGGCTGGGACCACTCCGTTTGGTCCCTTGGGGCTCCCATACTACCAGCAATGGAGCAAGATGTTCACCCAGCAAAACCTATATGGTTAGATGCTGGCTTCCATATACCTGCTGGTTGGGGATGTGTCCGGGTAGAACAGCAGGTGGGTTGTACTGCAGTGGTTGGCCAAGTAGTGGATATCTGGTATCGCCTGCAAGTTATGAAAAAAACATTTATGCGTCTCTCTCTCCAGTCATACTTTCTGGGGAGCTGAAAACAATTAAAATGAGCAGGGAAAAATCATGTTTAAGAAAATAAAAACAAGCATAGGTCTAGACATTTTAAAAAGAATTAGGACTTTCAAAATTCTTTTAAAGAGTGGGGGTCACTTCTGAAAGGACTACTGACAGTGGTTACGAAGGAGGGCAAGTGTCGGGAACCAGGTGCACAGGGTACAGGATGGAGACAATCCTCTGGCTAGTTCTTCCCTGTTGACTTTTGAAGACATGCGAGAAATAGAACCTGAAAGACTCTGATACCAAATCCTAGCAGCTCATATGAAATCATCAACCTAACACCCACAGGCGTGCTCAAATCCCGCTCTTTCTGTGATGATTAAAATGCAGTAATGTACCCTACATTTGAGAGGCAGGGAAAAAAACCTCTGACAAACATTTAAGCTCTTATCACTCCAATTATCATCAACATATGTATCTGTAAATTTACACACACACACACACTGAGAAAAAAATCGTTGCTATAAAAATATAGCAATCTAGTGTCCCTTTGGGGGTACAGCTGTGGGGCAGGGAGCAGCAGCTTGCTTGGTGGGGAGGGGAGTGACAGGAGGGCGGGCGGTGTTGAGTCTGCATTGTGGCAGCTCAGCTGAAGATGGATGCGGCTACAACTGCACGTGCCCTGAGGAGAAGCCCTGAGAGGGAGATGTGGGGCCGAGGGGGTTCTGATTCTAACTAGGCTCCCTGGGAGGCTCTCAGAGGCAGCTCCTCACCGGTGCAAGTCTGCAAACCTCCAGACTTTGGGTGCTATCGGCGAGCCAGATCAGCTTGTGAGGAAGTTACTTCCAGATATGTGTATTAATATGTACAAAATTCTATACTAAATATAATATGGTGTTGGTGCAGCTGCCAAAACACACAATGAACCATTTCATTAACACAGAGTGGACATGAAACAAGACTAGCCAACTGTATAATGCTCTTGTATAATACTTGCTAACTCAACATTGTTCAGATGTAATTTAATGATCACTGGTCAATTTCATCAACTCTATTGCATTCTTACACATTTTAACCATGGGCTACTTATATTCTAAGCTCAGGGTCTCTTCTTCTCAGTCTCCCTCCAGTTTGTCTTACTCTGTTCAATTCCAGGTTTGAAGGGTTGGGTAAGGCCCAGTCTTGGGGGCTCCAGCAGTAGCCTCTATCACACCAGCAAGTCAGGCTTTCCTTATGATTTAAAGCTTTGTTCCACATTTCCCTCCTGCTCTGTTCAGGACCTGCTACGGCGACACCATCAGAGTCTCTGGCGGCAGGGACCAGATGTAGCCCTGGTCTCGGGCGAGTGCACGCTGAAGGTCATGTGATGCCTACTCCTTTAGCCTCGCTGTTTACTTGAGCCTGGTTTTCTTCACTCTTCTTTGCTCCCGTTGGGAAGAGACAGTAATTGCATCTTAGCTGGCCGCTTACAAGCTTTTAAGGTCCCTGTAGCTAGTCATTAATGCAGGAGGCAGAACAGTGTCTTTATGGGCTATGTCTTTCTTCCCTGGGACTATGGTCCTAAACCCTCAAGCCCGGTGATTCAGTCCCTCAGGGCGTTTGGTCACGCCTCAGTGGGTC